AGATTCCAAAGACAATAGTAAATTTCCCCACTTTTTACTATATGTTTTCACTGGTTCACTGGCGGATCACGAATTAAAATTTAAAAAATTAACCATAATTAAGTTTACCTTGCTAAAGCGACACGCATTTTCTGACCACCACTTAGCGTAATTCCTTTTTCACCAATCTCCGTCATGTCTCCGTCATCAAGTATTTGAAAGTCTTTTTCCAGTGCGCATACTTTTATAACTTGATTATAACGATTTTCATTATAAGGAAGACCAAAAAGAACATTATCACGAATAGAAGCATTCTGAAGCCATGCTTGCTGTGCAACATAAGCAGTACAATTCGGAAGAATCCAATTGTTTTCATTGATATTTTTATCAATAGGATTTGTTAAACAATGTGGATTATTGATCTTGCCACTAATGATATTCGTTTCTGTTGGTAAGGGTATCAAAATATTTTTGAACAAGGTAATTTGACTTACTAAAAAAAAAGAATACGTATACAGAATTAAATTTATCTACCTCCAAGAAGTGACATTAATAATAATGTCTTTAATAAATGCACATTATATAAATATTAATGTTATTAGAGGTATTATAAAATATACATATTTGCAGACTTATTATACTCAACCTTCCCAGATCCGGCTGGCCCACCTAAGAACATATAAATAACCAAATTATTTATAACATATCATAAAAGAATATTTTTTAAACAATGGTAAACTTACAAATGATACTTAATTCTCCCACAGGAAATTCCAAGTCCAAATCTTGCATAATAAACTCATTACTATTTTCCTTAATTTTATTCCATGAAATGGTTGCTTTTTCAAAAGAAATTGATTCCAGAAATGGATTATTTTCGGGCGGAGTATCGATCTCATCTTCATTTAAAAAATTTTCTATTCTACGCATGCTGACCAATGCTTGAAGTGCATCCATGAAAGCTTCGGGCAGATTATTAAGGGCAAATCGAAGCTCATTGAAAACAGCTATTGAAGTAAAAGCAATGGCAGCTGTAAGCTCATTTCCTTGAATTTTGGTGAAAAAGAAAAAACTGAGAATAGTGACTAATATAGGTGAAGCCATCCACAATAGATCAATTATGGACAAATAAATAAAGTTATTTCGAAGCTGTTTAAGTTCAATTTGGCGAATTTCTACAAATAAAAAGCATGACTTTCAAAATGTGTAAGTTTTACAGATCATGCGGAAGCAAGGAAAGTAATATGCACCCAATACTTTATTTTCCCAATTCTTTTCCCAGGATAAGAATTTAATCATACGAATACTTTGTAAAACCTTTCATTTGGAAACAGAATAAGTATGTAAAAGGAATATATTGTAATATATTGCATTTAATGATACCTGACGAATGACGAAACGTTTCGTAAAGCTATTTCTGAATGACAAATTGACGAATGATGAGACGATGATGATTGATGAAGCATATAATATCCTTATTTTCTTTCACAATTTTAATAAATCAATATATATAACATAAATTTTTTTTGTTTTTGCATTATTTTATCTACGCATTTTTCAATTTTTTTTATGACACATTTAGCCGAAATTACCCGAAGAAAGCTTTACCTCCCGAAAGAGCCCGACTGGCTGACGGAGATCAATAAAATAAACTTCGTTACAATGAATAACATTAAATTGAAAAATAATTAAATATTTAGTATATCCGTAGTTCATTGTAAAGTAGCTCATCGAAAAAAATCTCCTTTGATTAATGGAATCGTCAAGGACTTCATGATCGGCAAGAAACCAGTTCATTATCAATTAAATTTACTGTGTTTTTATATTGACGAGCGAAACTTTGGATTATAATTTAAAAAATCTTAACATTCAGTATTCAAAGTTTATGCAAAGAAGCTAGTTGAAAGAGAGTTAGCTGTATTATAATTTTTCATTGGTCAAATTGATTCGTCAAGGGTTTTATCAATCGTCATGAGTTTCGTCAATCGCCAAGGTTTCGTCAAACAAGTATGTTGACGAAACCATTTCGTCATTGAGAAATAGTTTCGTCAGTAATCATTAATTGCATTATAAAACTTACTTCATTCATAAGTCCCACTCTACGATCTCTAGCATTCATAAGCTCGTCTTGAGTTTTTGCATATAACTTGGCCATCTGATGATTAATTGGAAGTGTAATAATCATAACCAACAAACCGAGTAAACAAGACACACCCATTAATTGATGCAAAAAATAAACACCAACTACTAATTCTATCGGACTATCAATTGTACTTGTCCACCATTCAGAAAATTCACTAACACGATTTGTATCAATTGACATAAGATTAGTAACCTTGCCAACAGACAAATTATCATCGTTGACATCATTGATGTTATCCCGAGATTTGTTACATTTATCTTTCACAGTTGAAACATGAGAGTTAATTCGTCTTAAGCTTTTTGAATAGATTTCAGAATTAAGCATCCCCTTTACGCTAATATTAAGTACATTTGCAGCCCAATACCGATTCTGTTCTAGAGTAAAATGTAGCATAATATATGAAACAAGCATTCCGAATACATATACAAATCCAAGTTCCAAAGATCCATTTTCAGGTCTCGTTTGAATAAACAATAGAAAACGGTATAAGAAAATCATTGGAGCATAATATAAAGCAGCACCCATCATTGTGAATAAAAGCTGTAAGCCTATAACACGTTTATTAACCACCAATATTCGATACAAAAGTTTACTTTCGGTTTTTTTGAACGCATTATATAATGACTTGGCTTGATAAGCAAATGGAAGTAAGTCAAGATCATCATTATTGAAAGTCTTTTGTCTGTAAGCTTTGAAAATTAATTTAGTAATAGTGGAAAAGGTAATAAAGTCCCATATTGAACAATACTCGATTGCACAAACAACTCTTCCATTTTGAAGTATTGGTGGACCCATCGGTGTTGTGATAGCAATAGATGTAGCAACCACAGAAAAAACAAAGTTACATATTACAGTTAATTTCTCAATTACTTCGTTCTCGCGATAAGAATGGCTTAATTTTAAAACCTTTATAGATTGCCAAAGTGAACATAGAGAGGAGATAAAAAAAAATGCAGTCAAATATGCATTTAATTTCCATCTCCACCGTCTCGATTTCAGTGATAAGGCAATGATTGAAATTGTAAGCGCATAAAACTTTCGGTTTGAAGGTAAATAAACGATATCAGACAATAAAGAAAGCTAAATTGAAATAATAAAAAATACTAATAGATTTACCCAACAAATTGCAAGAATTCCGGGACTTATAGTATCAAAATTTAGATAATTTCCATGCTTAAATCTCCAAAAGAATAAAAAACCAAACAATCCGGTCTGCAATATCGTGATCCCAAGTCTGGAAAAGTCCCTTTTTACCGTTGAGAAGCGCGCATTATCAACTATATTATCAGGAACTCCGTCTGATGGTGTTTCAAAACGCTTTTTACTATTTTTAATAGTTTGTAAAATTATTAATATACTGCTAATTGCTGCAAAAATTGCTGGAGGTAGTGTGTCCGCTATGGACATTTTTTTTGTAAAATTTTCATGCAAGCAGCAAACTTTAAATGGCTTTTTGTGTAACATAATGCTCATTCACCAGGAACCTAGTACGAATACCAGGAACGTAGTACGAAGTATACCAGGAACGTAGTACGAAGTGAATGGTTTACAGGCAACTATCTGCGTGCAAAACCTTGTATACTATTGGATAGCATGTTAAATTGATATGTGTACTTTTTTGGGTAGCTTTTAATCGTTAGGTTGGTCATACACAGGGATAAGTGGGTTGTCTAATCAAATTTAAATTTCTAAAATTGTCTGTAATTTTTTTTAGAAATAAGAAACCTCTGTTCAGAGTCAAGCAAACTAAATAATTAGGACAATAATCTACCAAAATTTTATTCTATATATGTCAGTAAATCAATGGACACTGGACAAATCTATATGTCCAGTGTCCAGTGAAATTCACTGGACATAGAGGGCAGCCCAACCCTGAGTCATACATTGTATGGATTCTAATAAAACAAAGACAGATGCATCTGTCTGAATTAATAAGTTGATTTAGATCTGTTTTGATTGATATAAAGAATAAATGTATTAATTAAAATACACTTAGCGTTATATCTGTGTTATAAAATATTACAGGCAGTTAAAATTTTATTAAGCTTGTGGCGGTTGTGACGGGGTAAATTGAGGCTTGAAAACTATTTTTATGTATATAATGGGTCAGTTCAAGTCATTTTTAAATCGGTAAAAATTTAAGAATGGTGTAGGTCAATTCAAAATTGACCTAAATTGTGAAACGACGTCGAACACTACTACTCGCTACAGATACATATGAGAAGCAAATGAAGATCATTGCTGGTAAAGTGTATTTCAAACCAGTTACATATGCATTTTCAGTTCGCACATTCTTTGCGAAATGTCAAATTTATACCTATTAAAAATTCCGTATCAGTTCATATCTTTTAGCAAAACACTAATTTAAGTACAACCTTATTCTCTCTAATAGAATATCATACCGCATTTTAACCAACACAACTCTATAATTGATCAAATTACTCTTCACAATAATCTAACTACTAAAAAAACAACTTAAATAAATTACCTAAAAACAACCCCAAAAAAAAAACAAACCAGAAAAATAAAAAGAAATCAAAAGCTAAAGTACTTATTACCGTAATTTGCGGCAAAGAATACCCCCGGTCTCTTACATTCCTATGCCCTAAAATTGATTAGTGCCCCTGAAACCGTCAATTGACTATATACTGTAAATTGATTGAATTGACGCTCAATTGACAATGGGCGGATACTTAAACAAGGGAGTAGTATTTTCCGAAAATTGTCACTACAACACTAAATCAACTAAATCGTCATATTCATGCATTCGGCGATCACGGTATCTAGTGTACCCGATCTTACTTATGCCGCCCCACACTTCGACTTACCACTACGACCCGATCGATCACATGATCACGTGAGTCGTTCGATCCATATTTCCGTTCAACCTTCACACTCTTCAACTCATTTAACATTTCACTATCTATTTGCATACCTTTTACTAGATACACGGGTCTTCGAAAACTATGCGACAATTAGCCAAATCATTATTAATATATCTTCATTAAAAGCTTAAAAAAAATGTTAAAATAAAGTTTAGTTAGCGAAATTTTCGATTATGAAGGATAGAGAGGACGCCGATTGTAAGGTGGAGTACCTATACAGTACAATACGTCAGTCATCGTTACAAGCCAAGCAAGTGGAAAATGTAAGTCAAAGTTGAGCGAACTCCCAGTAAAGATTAAATTATTCGATAATTAGTGTAAATTAAAAACTTTGAATGAAATTATGCATGATAGCAATTCTCATGTTTTAGCTAAAGAATTATTTTACCCAAGCTTATTCATGGGGAACAGGCCGGCACAATGGGCCTTTTGTGGAAATTAATTTGGGCCGCCCCAAAATTCTAGTCACATAGTAAATTATGGCTAGTGTTTTGGAGAAAAATTAATTTCCAAAAAAAAAGCCCGTTGTGTCGATCATTCATTAATAATAACAAAGGCCGGCATCTCAGATGAATTCTTATAACATTTGTCCTAACACCAGCCCTAATATTGTTTTATTAGCTAACCATGAGATAGTTTGTATTGAAATTGCCGTAATTTCTATTAGAAAAAAAAACGAGGAAAAAATCGAAATATTCAAACCATAACATAGCAACAATACTTGGACAAGAATCAACCAACAATATTAATCGAAAGAATCAAAGTGTCACAAAATCATGATACATAAATAAAACAAACAGGACAATTCGATACGTTTACACAATATGTCGAAACAATATATTAGTGTGTACCACACTTACTACACTTACTACTTGTATAACGGCAATCACAAATATTTAAACAGCTGGTTAAAAAATTATCCAGGCATGCAGATCGATGTTTAAACCAATAATATCTGTTTATCGGTACAGGCTAAACTGATTTAGGTTATATTGCTGATCACTTGATATTGTATAGCCCAATGTAAGTATGATAATAAATTTACAGTATCAGGCGCGTATGTATTAATATAATACGAATCTTTTAATTTTTTTCATAAATCAAAAATGTCAAATGAAGACCTAACAAAATTAAGCGATGATTTTGACCATTTAAATTTCAATGAGAATGATTCAAACGGAATGTATTCGCTTGGATATCATTACGAATATGAAAAGGATGAAAAGAAAGCATTAATATATTATCAAAAATCAGCAGATATGAATAATTTTAACGGGATGTATCAAGTCGGTTATTTTTATTATTTAGGAATTGGAGTCGAAATCGATAAGCATAAAGCGTTTACCTATTATTTGAAGTCTGCCGTGGCAGGTAATTCCATGGGAATTTGGAAAACTGCCGTTTGTTACCTTTATGGAATTGGCGTGAAAAAAAATGAAAATAAATTTTTGAAATGGATTAAAAAGTATGATAATTTTAAACTTCTAATAATGTTTATTTTGTAGTTTATTTAAAACAAGATCTCTTATACAATTTTAATTATCAGGGAGTAAGCATAAAGAGCAATTATTGATCTATTCATCAGCAATTTAAAATCATAAATATTTATTATTTGTTATTTTAGCCCGTAAGTATAAAGAATATTGAATAATTCTAGAAATAAAAACAGCAAAAACAAAAACATAAATACTTATTACCGTTACATACAAATCAATTCATTCGTATTAATCATTTCATTCAGCATGTGAGTATAAAGATCATTTAATAGTTTCTTAAAATAAAACCAGCCAAAACAAGTTAACAAAACAAGATCATAAATACTTATTTATTATTACAAATCGTTTCATTCATATTAATTTAGTCGGTTAGTATAAAAAACTTTTAATAAAAACAGCAACAAGTTCACAAAGCAAGAACATAAATGATTATTTACCATTACGAACAAATCATTTATTCGCATTAATTTAGTCAGTGAGTATAAAGAACATTTAATAATTTCTAAAAATAAAAACAGCAAAACAAGTTCACAAAACAAGATCATAAACACTTATTTATCATTATATAAATCATTAATAATTTTATTCAGTGAGTGAGTATAAATACATTTGAAAAATTCCAGAAATAAAAAGCAGAACAAGAGCATAAATACTTATTTACCATATACAAATCACTTCATTCGCATTAATTTAGTGGGTGAGTATAAAGAACATTTAATAAATTCTAGAAATAAAAACTGCAAAACAAGAACATAAATATTTATTTACAATTACGTACAATCATTTCATTCACGTCAATTTAGCTTGTGAGTATAAAGAACATTTAATAATTTAAACTGCACACTTATTTACCACTATGTACAAATCATTTCATTCGCATTAATTAGTCGGTGGGTATAAAGAACATTTAATAATTTCTAAAAATAAAAACAGCAAAACAAGTTCATAAACACTTATTTACCATTATATACAAATCATTAATAATTTCATTCAGTGAGTAAGTATAAATACATTTATTAATATTACGAAAACAAGTTCACAAAGCAAGAACACAAATGATTATTTACGGTTATGTACATTTGCATTAATCATTTCATTCAGCATGTGAGTATAAAGAGTATTTAATTCTAGAAAAAAGCAGCAAAACAGATTCACAAATAAATATTTATTTATCTTTCGTATAAACTAATGATGCCTGACGAAATTATTTTTGCGATGACGAATGACGTAATTATGATTTCGTCATGACGAAACCTTGACGATTGACGAAACTCCCGACGATTGACGAAACCTATGGCGAATTGACGAAACATATGACGAATTGACGAAATATATGACGAATTGACGAAATATATGACGAATTGACGAAGCCTATGACGAATTGACGAAGCCTATGACGAATTGACGAAGTCCCTGAAACCCTCGACAAGACTAAGCCTCTAATAATTGATGAAACTTTGACAAATCGTTCAGGTAATAATTTTTGCTAGTTTTATAAGCGATAATATGTTACTTTGAAATAGTTGAAACTATTTGAATTTATTGACAATTAGTGAAATT